TGTATTTTTTTTTTTTTTTCCCTCTCCCTCTCTCTCTCTCTCTCTCTCTCTCTCTCTCTCTCTCTCTCTCTCTCTCTATAATTGAACCAAATTAAGAAGGTTTTAATTAAGTATTGACCAAAATACTTAATAGGTTTTATTGACCAAAATTCAATAAATAAATTAATAATTAAACAGAAATTAAATCAATTACCATCTTGAAAACCTTAACAGCACGAGCCTTGAGTTTGGGATTGTTCTGTGGAATTTCATCTGTGTTTTGCAGAAATGAGAACACGTTCTTTGCTGCTGGGGCAATCTCCAGAATCCTGCATCCGTTCCATTATAAATAACAAATATTAATATTAATAGGGCCTTTTCTTTGTCATCTCTTTCTCTGTATATACTTACAATGTGAAGAAACGAAGGCTGAGCTCAGGAAAGTTTTGTTTCATCACCTCCATGACTCCTTCACCAAACTTGTTTCTCACTGAAACCCATCTCTCTCTCTGTGTGAGAAGATGGGCTTTTTCTCACCCAGCCAGCCTCTATGTAGTGGCTAGCACAGAAATAAAGGGACAAATTAAGATTATCTCTTGGATTCATATCTATGAGATGTCCATCTGTATTTTGTTATTTTTTGAATGTATTTTTATTTATTGGACAACGTGATAATTGAGAGTTAATTGTTTCAATGCTAAATAAACTTAGATCCATGATTTCGATTGTTCACTAAAGTTTAAAATGTCGAGTTTTGATTATTGAACTTAGGTCTATGTCTTTGATTACTCATTAAAGTTTAAATTGTCGAGTTTTGACCACTGAACTTTGAAAAATGTTTTACGTTACTCTCACTAGTATTGCTTCCATCTCAAACCTCTAATGGAATTAGTGACGTGACAGACAGAATGTACATGTAGCTTCCCATTACACCGTTAAACTTTGAGATGGTCGAATTTGGCCATTGAATTTTAAACTGTCTTCTATTGCTCACAGAACTTTGAAGCGATCGAATTTGGCCATTGAACTTTTAAAAACGTCGAACTTTGGCCACTAAATTTTGAAAAAATGTCTTATATTGTTTACTATAAATTTAGATTTAATCAAACATCTATAGAATAAAATATTTTAGATGTAAACTCAAAATTTTTCCTAGCTTTTTAACCTCACATTCTCCAATAATCACTGTTTAAAAACTAGACCATCTCAAATTTTAGTGGCCAAAATTCAACTATCTCAAAGTTCAGAGTATGGTCGAGTTTTTGCTATAAAACTTTGAAAAACGTCTTCTGGCTCACAGTAAATTTGGATTTAATTAAAATTCATTGTTAAATTTTGGATTTAATTTTATTTAACAACAAACAAATTCATTGTGTGTTTCGTTGTAAAATTCGAATATTATGATGAAAATAACTTCAAATTCTAAAAAAATAAAATAAATTTAAATTTTGCTACTGTGTAGTTGAGTAATCATTCTAATGGTATAAACAATGCTTGCAAAGTTGTACGAGACTACTAATTGCAATGAAACACACAATATATTTATCGTAAAAAAATAAAATTAAATTTGAATTTTTTTAACAACAAATTTTAGCCCCATTTTGATTGCCATATTTTTTGTAAACATAAAGAGCTCTAAAAATAGCATTTTTTTTAAAGAGATTATGTGGTTAAAAAGTTGGGAAAAAAATTGAATTTACATATAAAGTATTTTATTGTATAGACGTATGATTATATTTCAAAAATTTATAGT